CCATAGGCAGGAGAGTGGGTTTGTTATCACGGCAGTAGGTTCCTTATGAAGGAGGATTCCGTGCCCTTTTGCTGACTTTCTCTTCCCCTCCCACTTTCCACATAGGGTGACAAATCAAAGGCCTTCACTGGATGCTGGACCCTCAGTCTTGGATGCCCCAGTCTTCAGAACTGTGAGGAAATAAAGTTTGCATTATACCTCACCTAGTCTGCAGAAACTTCTAAACCAGGAAGACAGCTGATAGAAAGACAAAGGAGAAACTTGGGTCCAGAGCCTCCACCTCAAGGTTCTGGGGGTCATGGTGACCTTGGCCTAGGATGGTAAAAGAGCTCTCTCTCCCTCCTTCCTTTCCTCTTTCTTTCCTCACAGCTGCTAAGGCCAGTTCTGCCTCAATGGCCTGGGCAGAGGACTCTAGGCTCCTGAGCCCAGGACCTCACCTGGTTCTCTTAGCTGTAGAAACATCCCAAGCCTGGGTCTGCCCTCAGGGCCCCAGCAGGTGCAGTGCCCCCTGCTGCCCATAAGCAAATCTGCTTGTCACCCTCAGTCCCCTACTTCCTGGTCCTTGGGTATTATTGGTGTCTGGTCTGGCCTTTACTTACTCTACATCCTTTGTGGGTCACCAACATACCTGCTTGTCTCTGAGACTTTGAATCGATACAGCCCCAGCACAGATATAACCATTCTGACCCCACAATGAGTGAGGCTACCTCACCTACCAAACCTACCTGCCAGGCCCTGGAACTGTCCCCAACACTGCCCTTTCTGGGTTGTGCCACAAGCTGTGAGACCAACTTCCCCCATTTCTAAGAGCTCTATTGGGATATAATTCACATTGTCCATTCACCTTTTCCAGGTATACAATCAATGGCTTTAGGTACAGTCATAGATATGTGATATGGTTGATATTGTCAACGGGACAGGATCTAGAAACACTCATGGGGCAAGTCACTGAAAAAAAAAAAAAAAACTTGTGAGAGATTAGGTTAGCCTCAGGCATACCTGTGAGGGATTATCTAGATCAGGGGCAGCCTCAGGCACACCTGTGGGAGTTATCTAGCTTAGGTTAACCAAAATAGGAAGGCCCATTGTAAATGTGGGCAGCACCTTCCTGTGGTAGAAGTCTGAGGCAAAAGCTTTTGCTTTTTGCCTTCTTGTCTTCACCTTTGCTGGTGAGTGCATCCATTCTGGTGCTGCTGCTGCCGCTGTTGCCATCTACCACTGACAGCAAAACACAGTTTCTCCAGCCTTTTATTATGACCTGAAGATCAGTGGCTCTCCAGGCCTTTAGCACAAGATGCTGAAGCATCCAGACTCACAGGTTGAGCAACTCTCTGGGTTCTCAGCCTCCCCAGTATGAAGACAACCACTGTTGGACTACTCAGACTGTGTAAGCCAATTTAATAAATTCCCTTTTAATATATATATTCATCTGTTAGCTTGGTTCCTCCAGAGAGCCCTGACTAATGCACACCACAATCCATTTTAGAATATCTTACCCACAAAGAAACCCTAGACCCTTGGCTGTCACACACACCCATCCTCCACCCCTAGAAATTTCTCACCTCTTTTCTGTCTCTGGATTTCCCTAGGCTGGACCTTTTGTATACATGGAATCATAAAGGTCGTGGCCTTTTGTGTTTTACTTTGCCTGGTGTTTTCAAGGTTCATGCATAGGGTGGTAGTAGCGCCTTCCTTTCTGTGACTGAAGGATAACCTGCTGTGTGAAGACAATACTGTTCAACCTTTCATGGATTGACGACACACACACTTCTGGTGGTGATGATACTCCTGAGCCAAGGTAACTCTAGTTCTAGATTTTAGTACCCTCTTCTGGCTTCCGAAAGCATTGCACATTCATGGTGCAGTTACATACATGCAGACAAAACACTCATAGATATAAAATAAAAATATTAAAGTTTTATATACATAAAATTTATATATATTCATATACATAAAATTTTATATACATTCATTTTACATAGAATGCTAGGTGACCCTTGGAACTGGAGTAACAGGTGGTTCTTAGTCACCATGTGGGTGCTGGGAACTCAACCTGGGTCTTCTGGAAGGGCAGCCAGTACTCTTAACCACTGAGCCATCTCTCTAGACCCTTAAATGGATTTTTTTTTCTTTTTGAGACAAGGTATCTTGTAGTTCAGGCTGGCCTTGAACTCAATATGTAGCCAAAGATGGCCTTGAATGATGGATTCTCCTGCCTTCACTTTCCAAGTGCTGGGATTACAGGCATGGGTTCCCATTCCTGGTTTATACAGTGCTGGAATTGAACCTAGGGCTTTCTACATGCTAGGAAAGCACTCTCTCAACAGGGTCACACCCCCATCCCCTAAATAGACTTTTAAAGAGGAGTTCTAGATTTACACAAAAAATGCACCTGAAGTAGAGTTCTCATCTTCCCCTTTGCTTTTATCCTTACCACCCCTACCATGTTCACCCTTATTAGCACTTGCATGTTTGTGACAACTGATTCACTGATATGGCACATTTATTTACTTTACTATAAACTATATCAGAGTTCACTTTAAGTGTATTTGCCAGTTTTCTGTTGCTGTGATAAAATGCCCGAGATTAGTACCTATGAGGCAAAAAGGTCTGTTTCAGCATTTCAGAAGTTCACACAGTTTCTCCAGCATTTCAGAAGTTTTAGTTCATAGTCAGTTGCCCCTGGTGCCTTCCGTGTGGTGAGGCAGTGAGTGGTGGCAGGAAGCACATGACAGAGGAAAGTGATTACCTCATGGTGATCAGGGAACAAGAGAGAGGCAGGGGCTAGGGTCCCACTATTCCATTCAAGGGCACTCTACCAATGACCTAATTTCCTTCACTAGGCCCCACCTCCAAAGATTCTACCACTTCACCACAGCAAGCAAGCTGGGGATGGAGTCTTGAACACCCAAGCCTATGGGGACTTTAGCTTACATTCTAGAGGTTTCCACAAATACACAGTAGCATGTATCCATGCTAGAGTGTCCTATGGAGTTATTTTTCTTACCTAAAATTCCTCTACATTCTACTTGCTCTCCCTTTCCTCCCCACCAAGTTTTTGCCTCTCTCCCTGTTAAATAGGTACTTTTCGCTGAGTGATGTAATCCAGCTTTTCTGTGTCTTCTCACTGCTTTAAGGCCCAGCTTTCTTGAGTATTGAATAACATTGTAATTTCCTTCCAAGAGCCCTGGCACATGGCAGGAATGGAATGGAGGGCTTACTACGACAGCTGAAGGCTTTGCCAATGGCTGTCTATCCCCATGCCCTCAGGCCTTCAAGTTAGGTCAAGGACTGAGCCCCAGGCATTTATGGGGGCCTGCAGATTGAGCCTGGAGGATGCCTTATGGAGCCTTGTATGGGAAAAAAGGAGGAAATCAGGAAGGGGCAAGAGGTTAAAGGATATTGGGGTGGAGGCAGGAAAGAGAGAAGTCACTGCCCAAATCTAAGGCAGTGGGGTGAAGGTCTGGGGGATTCAGAAATTTAGCAGATATTTGTCACTGTGCAGCAAGGTGTAGTCCCTTTCCAACTGTCCTTTGCCCTGAGTAGGTAGAGCTGAGATACCAGCTGGCCACCAATTGTAAACTTGGTGTTTTGCAATCATAGGACAGAGAGGAGGGGTCCCAGGGAAAGACTTTAGCCTGTTGGTCTGGGGATAGACATTTCAGGGGGCCTAAATGGCAGGCACAATGACTTTGGGCCTAGGAAAGCTGAGAAAGGTTAACAGAGGCCCTGGCTGTATTGTACCTGACTGGACCCAGGGCAAGCAGTTACTTGAAGACCAGATACCTGACCACAATGGGTACTGTCTTCCTTGCACCTGTAACTGGGCCTTGGAATAAAGACTTCCTGGTATCTTGCATATGCTTCCTGGCACATACCACTGCCAGCAAGAGCACTCCCTGCATGGATTCTGCATGGGGAATGACCAGCTATCCAGCTGATGAAGATGCCCCTGGGCTGTGTGGATGCCTCTTTTCCTTATCCTCGGTATTTGCCAGCCCTGGGATTTTGTGGCTTTGGGTAATTTTTTCCCTGTGAGGGTCCTGGGCAGGCCTAAGTTCCTTTTGCTGAGTTCAGGGGTCTTTCTCTACTTTGCCCTTGCTTAGGGCCAAAGTGGGTTTTAAGGAAGGGTGCAGAGAGAGGAGCATGTTGAGGGAGAGGGGCAAAAGAGGACGCTGTGGTAAACTGAAGAAACTGCCCCTCTAGATCACTACCTCAGAGAGGCAGAGGTGGCTCCTTCATCAGTCTGGCCCAGGCCAGTGAATAGCTGTGGTCAGCCAAAAGGGCAGAGGGCAAGAGTGACTTCTCAGTCTATGGATGGATTATACCCTTCAGTGCTCCGTCTTCAGCCCTAGCTTCCTGAGATGCTGTACAGGGTGTAAAGAGACTGGAAATGTTCTGTACACAGCTGGGCACTGAGCTGGCAGTATGCACTCTTACCACCTGTGAGTTAGCCTTGAGGATGTTCCAGACTGGTGAGTCCTCAGTGACCCCAGACCCAACTAGGCCAAGTGGAGGAGAACTACCCAGCTCACCCCTACAGCCCATAGAGTTATTATCAAGAAGTATTGCTGTTACGGCTTTGCTATGGCACCTGGCACTGTAACACACAAGACTGCAAGGGCATCGTCAGGGGAGCTGACAACTTCCAGGCAAGGCAGAGTTTGAAAATCTGAAGTTCTTTTTATTTTCTACTTTTTGGACTGGATCTGAGATTTATTTGGTGGGGTTTAGAACTCAGAACAGTGGGAACCTCAGTTCAGGACCTACTGCTAGTTCAGAGGACTGTGACTGGGGATGCATCTAACCCCACAGCCATGAGGAATGAGCTGCCTCTCGGCCACCAAGTCTTCAAATTCATCTGCATTGAACTTGGTGAAGCCATACTTCTTTGAGATGTGGATCATCTGGCAGCCAGACGATCTGGGAACTTGAAATTGTCTCTACCAGTACGGAGCCTAGATTGTAGCAACCCTGAGAGACATAAATATCCACCAGGAAACTGTCTTCAAGGTCCCTTAGGGCAACTCATACAAGCAACAGGTTGCACATATCACCAAGAAGAATGGTGTTTGCAGTCACTGCACACTGGGCCCCCATGAGGAAGGGAACCTGGTGGGGTTGACTTGCTACAAAAAAATCAAAGATCTTACTGGTCACAGGATGATGCTCGGGCTGGCTTCACATCTGCTCAGATTCCATCTCTGTTTCCAAGGCTAAATCCCAGAAAAGCAAACCCAGAGGTGGGGCCTGTGGATGGCTGCACAGCCACCCCTGTGGAATCTGCCAACACCACCCCCTGTAAATAGGGGGCACAAGAAAGCCACAACATGTGCAAGTTTCCATGTGGGAGAATCTGGAGGCTGGAAGGGCCCCATCCTCATACTTTGAGGAAGCAGCTCCACAGCAATGTTTGTGCCTAAGCAGCAGTCCTACATTCAATCAAGTCAGTTACTACTCTTCTTCTTCAGCAGGCTCAACCCACCTGGGCCTGGATTCTGAAGTTCTGAAAGCTTGTAGGACTTTTGCACCAGACAACTGAGCCATGCTAGGGCACCTGTCCTATCACAGAGGGCTGGGGTTGCTGTTTGTGGGAATGGATCTTGAAGATGTTTATCCAAGGACTTGCCCTTGGGAAGATGAGCTGATCTGTGTCCAGACCCATGCTGCTGGGCACCCCATGGGGTAGTACCCTGATGTACTTTGACCCCAAGTGGTGGCCTGTGGTGGGTCCTTTGTACTGAACTTCTGTCTTGGTGTGAACAGAGAAGCCAGCTGCCCTCATCACATCTGACCCCAAATTCTGACTAACTCTGCTGCCTCTACCCCGTATGCTAACTCACACCTCCCCATGGTTACAGACCCCCACAGCATGACTTCTGACTGCAAAGTGCTTCCCTGTAACAGAGAAAAGCAACAGGCTGAGGCCAGTGTTTACACAGTGCTGGCGACTGAACCCACACATCTAGGTAAATATACCATCCCCTGAGCTACATGCCCAGCATGAGATTTAGTGAATAGCTTATAGACCATCTTGGGACAAACATACATCATCCAGGTCTCCTCTATGTGACAGCCACTGGAACATTTGGAATTCTGTGTAAAAACAGGAGTGGGGGAAGGAGATGCTTGTGCAAGGCATCTGCAGTGGGCATGGTCCACACCTGCATTTGCGTTTTGTCCAATTTCTTCTCCTTCCCTGGAGCTGTGTGGTGGGATACTACTGCTACTCTGGCTGCTGGACTGGATCCAGGAGCCAGCCCTCCTGTGCTGGCCAGTTGAAACCTGCCCATCCTGCCCTCACTCATCCTTTGGGAGAGATTGGTCAAGTAATGTGTTGTTCTGAGTCTCCCCCATGTCCCACTTCCCTGCCTGTCCTGAGGTCACAGACCACCCCTGTGGGAAAGAACAGAGAATGGGAGGGTGAGAGAGGAACTTGTTGGGCAAGATAAGAGGGCAAGAGGGGGATGAGGTGCTTTCCCAAGCCAGGTCACTCCTATTCTGAAGGATGCTACAAAGGGGCAATGAGCAGTGGGGTCCCAGCAGGAAGCAGCCCCTCCCACACCAAAGCAGAGTACTGCATGGAACCAGATTCTGCTCCCACTGCTCTGTGCCCAGGAAAATGGGAGTTACTGTGGTTGTGTTTATGGCCAAGTGCAAGAGGCTCAGGGCTTTAGGTAACCCCTGTCCTGAAGTATGCCTGTCACCCCCACCCGGTCCCCACTCCAGTCCACAAATCTCCAGGCTGAAGCCAGCAGAGCAAACAGGAATCATTAGCAAGTATCTGGCTGGGTGACCCGATGTGGGCCTGGGACAGGCTCAACACAACATGCTGCCCCGGCTGTGACCAGCAGGGGGCAGACAGCCAGCTAATTTTTAACTTGAAGAAGGTGAGAGATGAAGGGACTTAGATCTGTGCTCAGGCCTCAGAGATGCTTTTTAAAAAATAAAAATCATTTTTAAAAATTTGTTGATTTTTTTGGTGTGTATTTCATACAGAACATCCAGACAATCTTATTCATCTATATACCCACATCCCAAATGGCACCTTCCCATAGTCCCCCCCCGCCAACTAAAGCCCAAATACTCTGTCATTCCTGTTACTGTCCACTGTGTTGTCAGTGCCCCCAGCTGTTCCCCAGTGCTTGTCCATCCACTGAATCTAGTCAGCCCATTTAGAGTTCCTTGTTTTAGGAAGATCAGTTCTTCCTAATCTAGCAGCAATCCGTTGCCAATATTCATTTAGATAAGACTGGTGTCTGCTGTTCATTTTCCCAGTTCTATGCTGGGTTACTGTCTGGAATTCTCTGGGCCACCCTGGCCAACAACTCAAAGGAAGGTATCTCCTGTCTGGCATTGTTTCTTGTTATGTAGCCTTTAGCTACACACATGGACTCTAAAAGAATTATATTGATCCCTTTAATCTTTGGTTATACTTTCCTTTTGGGTGTTTAAGACCATACAGTTGGCCCAGATAAATCAATTTAT